AATTATGCTGAGCAGAACTTTGTTACCATTTCTGAGAATGAGAGAGAGTGTGTATAATCTAACATGATCAGTTGTTGAAGGGGGTTCCTGTTTTCATTTGATTGTCCATGCTCAGGGATACTTTTGATATTTGTGTTATTCTGTGTGATACTGTTTATTTTCTTTTTATTAATGTTTATCAGATACAAAGCTGAAGAACCACTCAAGTTAGAGGGTTACTGAAGGACGTTGTTGTGGGAGCAATAAGAGTAAGAGTTAAGAGGATATGTGGGAAGGATACTGAAGAGGTTACATTTGTAGTGGTCAAGAAAGCATCTTCTAGGGAGTCAGTTTCACAAAGAAGCAGTTCATGGGAAGAAGCTGCTTGAGTAGGACTTCTTACTTACTAATGGAATACAAAAGAAATGAGGATGGTATGGCAGGTCTTAGATATGAGGGTTAGAGTTAGAATGCTTGTTCTTGCTAAACCAGACTATATGGCAGTCCTGGGAAAACTGAATGTGGCCAACATGATAATTTTATGTTGCCCACAAGAGCACAGCAAACATTATCTTTTCTAAAAAAAAAAAATTGTATTTTTTTGTCTACAGGCTGCATGAAATAAGAGAACAAAGATGGAAACCGTGTACATTTAATATTGTTTTTAATTAACAAAATCCAAAACATGTTTCAGCTAACAGATTTGAATACGCAATCTGTCTTGCATCCGTAAACAAGTAAACTGAATCCTGAAGATGAAAAACTTTTTCACCATCACAAATCTTTTTTTTTTATTTCACAACAATCAAGGTAATAAAAGCCACTAAGCTGCAAGGGGTTACCAAGTGTGATAGAATATGAGTAAAGTGACAAAACAATAAAGGAACAGGAATTAAGAAGACAGAAAATAACAATTGACATTGCATTTAAATTTTTGAAGAGAAAATGTTGACTGGAAAGCAAGAAGACAGAAGAGAGTTCAACAAGCAAGAAATGTGAAAGAAGAAACTATTAGCATAGAACTTACGGTTCCATCTAGCCATTGCAACTGTTATATGATGAGACCTTGCCACCAATCTAGTACTGCGTTTATATTCATAAAATCTAGGTACCAATGCAGAAAGCTCATCAGCACACTTGTCATGAAAATATTTTTAGGAAAGGTGCAGGATATGATTTAATAGAGAGGAAAGAACACAAGAATCAACTCTATGGCATGACTGTAAAGAAAGTACACAAGAACAATACAAGATATCCCCTTTCAGAGACAAAATTAGAACAGCCAGCACCTCAAATTAGCCGGGTTTACTTACTCAGGTATCTACATATTATTTAAGGACAAAAATGAGTATAACATATGTGTAAATAAATCAATATATAACAATGATATTATTATAAAATATAATAACATTATGGCTAGATAATGCTGAAACGATGTTTTTTTTCCAATCACTGAAATTAAGCAATGTTGAGCCTGGTCAATACTCAGATGGTTACTGTTGGGGAATGGCAGGTTCTATAAGAAAAACCTTAATATGTAAAGGTGCTTCTGGTCTGGCAGGTTGCAAAACCTACCTAGATTTGGGTGAGTGAATGAATGATAATAATTCCTTAGATTTAGTTCCACAAAAACTAAAACAGTCAAAGGTGAACAATAACACTGTCACATGGAAAAGGTTTTTAACTTCAAACTAATTTTATTTTCATATAATCACTAGCATTGGTTATGTATTTTGCCAGCAAAGAACAAGAAAATGCACACTGAGCTTGTAAAAAGAAATAAGCCTAGAAGCCATGAAATATTATCAAACTGATGACCAAGTCAAATCTCTTTGGTGCTTAATGGCCAGCTGTAACAGCCTTTATGCTGTTACAGTTCCAATGTAGCTTATCTAAGTGATATAGAAGACTTCTGTTAAGTATATATCTTGGTTTGCACATCTGAGTCTGGGAAAACTTTCATGTCTCATCAGCTAAAATTTAGTGATAAGCATGGAAACATAACTTGGTAGACACAACATCATGCAAGAAGTAATAATAAAGCTTTGAATGCAGACAAGACCTGTTAGAAGAAAAAAAAAAAAGGTGCTCTGTCTGTTTCATTTTGCTGTTGTCATTTGCAGAACTAGAAATAATACGAGTAAAAATTTTCTCATATCGCTTACAATTAGAAATATTTTGAAAGGTTTTGCCAATGATCTGACATTCTTTTCCTGATGATAACAAGTCATCAATAAAAGGTGTCATTATCTACAGTGGGTGATGGATAAATTGTCACCATACAACTGTTTAAATAGAAGATGAATTTAACTTGGAAAGACTCAGAATTTTTTTTAATATTGAAAATTATTTGAATAATTCATATTCAATCTTTTTTCAAATAAAACTGATGCATTAAACTCATTTCTAACCAATAAAAGCTAAAGTGACACACATCATCCCATGTGTTATGTATTGAACCAAGATGTGGAGTTGTGTCCCTTTGTCTCGAGTGACCCAAAATGTTGGGTTATCTGTCCTTTACCAGAGTTACGAATATCCACAATTTTGCATGGACACACGTGATTGTTCATTTAGGTAAATTCTGTCTTTTGTGGTCTTTATCTGTTTCAGTGTTTTTAAATAGTACATTGCAACAATGGACAGCATAAAAAATAATGCTACAAAGGTGGTAGGCAAGTTGGAATATCCCAAGAAATTGGCCAGTCTAGATGGAGATGGTTGATATAGCAAAAAGAAAACAAATCCAACCTTATAAAACAAGCAGGAACTGTCATAGATACTAAATAAGAACAAAGACTACTTCACAGCTGTCAATACCTATTCACTGTGAAGTAATCTTTGTTCCGATTCAACATTACATGAAGCTGCCACAGACAGGGTGCGATGGATAAATTGTCGTCTAAATCACACAAAAATGAAGATACAATTGACATCTCATTTTAGTACTTACAGGGTTCTCTCTCTGTTTGTTTCATTTTGCTTTTATTTGTTATTTGCAGAACAAGAAATAATAGGAGTGTTGTGTTTTGCATATCTCTCTGTGTAGCAGTAGTTGTAGTACAGTTCCCGAATAGCAACCGGGTTTGCTAGGCATAGTCTCTCTATGTTCGCCAGTTGTTTTCTATTTATACTTGTCTATCTAATTTCTATATGATACTACAAGGAGTAAAAATTTTCGTTGTGAAGAAAAAAAAAAAAATTTCCCAAACCCAAACAGTTTATTTAAATGTCAGTGTATACAACAATGATAGTAAATTTACTACGATGAATATGGATGAGTTGTACTATGGTTACTTTTGTTCAACACTGTAAAATGCTACTAAGACAAAATATTAACTATAGTGACGTCATGCTGAAACACTGATTCCTGTATGATCTCCAAAGTTAAGCAAAATGAAACCTGATCAATACCTAGATGGATAACTGCTTAGGAACACCAGGTGATGTAAGCTTGGATATCTGGCTGATATAATGGATAATGATTTGGAATTGTTAATTAGAGAGCTGAGTTCTAATTCCTGTTAGTTTCATTATATACATTTACATACAGATACTCTTTGGAAAAGTACAGATCCACTTCTTCTCTCCCCAGCTATAGGTTAATTAATTAGACTTGTATCACTAAATCACTGTTATCTCAAAAACATTCTTACAATTTAAAACTATTTTCTGGCTTTAAATAACCTGGAAAGAGTCGATAGCTGTAGAAAACAAATTAATTAAATTATTAACCTAAAAATTTGTGTCATGTTTTAAATAGCCTTATCAGATCAAAACTCTTACACAGATTCCATGCATAAAATCCAATTCATTCAGAAATGTCTAAACTATCATCTGTTTACAACTATTTTCTCAGATCAATGATTAAAAGCAGCTCCAAGTTTTAGGTATTAAAAGATGATGATGGTTTATTAGACCCTATAAACTAGTGCTAGAAAAAGTCACAAAGAGCATTTACAAATAATGAAAACCACATCACTTACATACAAATCTAAATGTTGAGTTTCGACCTTATCATAAACGAGAGGTTCTGAAGAAGATTATCAATATTTGAGTTATAACTGTGAAGTTGAGAAGTCTAATTTTCTGAAAAAAAAAACTTGTTTGAAGAGAAAGGTTTCATAAATTTCAACTGAAATAAGGAGACGGTTAATATTACCATTACATGCTAATCGTCCAAAGCCTTGCAGGATATATCTGAATGCCTGCTTGAACAGTATACGGCATGTGTACATTAGACCAGTGGCCAAAAATAATCCAATTCCCTTGGCACTTCTCAGAGACCAGGGATTAATTCTAGCTCACCCTTGGGAAGAACAGCTATGAGCTTCCTCAATAGAAGTTGACATTAATTAATGAGCCTACAAGTCAACAGGTCTTTTCTTATTTTCTGTCTTTGAATGAAAAAGTAAATTCCTTGTCAGCATGAAGAAATAGGAAACCCAGATGTTCAGTATCTAATTATGTATTTTCTATCATTTTCACTTTCTGGCGTCGTTTTTCATCGATATCACAGCTTCAGTTGTGGGATGAATTTGTAAATTAATGAAAACATTAATTATTCATCCTTTAGAAATCTAATCAACTATTTTTAGAGAAAATATCAAATAATCTATATAATCATTCTTTACCTCTCTCAAAATTATGTAATAAAGATTTTTCACTTCAAATCTTTTCCCAAAAATGTAAAGATTTTTTTTCTCAATTACTTATGAACAGAATAATATCATTTCTATCTTAAAAACACAAAAACAACTGATGTGGGATTTTGAAAACACAATAATAAGACAGATCATATCAGAAATGGGCAGCACTTTCAAAGAATAATGAATTGGTTTTGATTCTTTTGTTTTTTATGGTTTATCAACTCTTTGCAGGTTATTTAAAGTCAGAAAACATTTTTAGATTGTGAGAAGTTTTTTGAGATGCTAATGATTTAGTGATACAAGTTTTACTATTTAACTCACAGTTGGGGAAGAAGTGGATTAACAATTCCAAACACTACCTGCACATCCAAGCTTACAGCACCTTGTATTCCCAAGCAGTCACCCATCTAGATACTGTCCATACTTGATGTTGCTTAACTTCAGTGATCATACAGGAACCAGTTTTTCAATGTGATATGGCCATAAGCCATACACTTAAAATTATGATGTAATATTTAATAACAGATTGTATTTATGTAATACTGACATTTTTTTTTAATATCCCTTCAGTTATCTGTCTATAAATAAAGGCATTAGTTAGATCCAATGACAGGACACAAAGAGTGTGAGTTCAATACCTGGTTAAGGCAGTGGAGAACTTGGAGAGAGGAATTAACAGGTGATAACTGACATCCATTAGACATGGCACGTGGAACTAGAACAGTCTACCCCATTGAGCGAAAGGGTTCATTTTGACATTCCAAACACCTGAAGAAGGCCGAAGTGAACAACAGCCTAAAGATTGTGATAAATATGGCAACAAAGATGAGGGCAATAGTCTGAATAATGTAAATAGTGTACCTGTCAGTTATACTGCAAATTCTGAAAGATTTTTCTGAATTATTAATTTTGAAATAACCATAATATTTGTTATTGGCCTGTTGTGTTCACTTTGAACTATGACCTTGCAAAAGGCACAAGTCCATCTCTCCTACGCCCAACTATGGCTTAAATAGTAGGACAGTCAAAGAATAGTAGGCGAGAAGAAGGCAAATTTGGAATTACAAATCATGGATATTTATCTTTCCCAAGGAGTCATGCTAATTTACCGATAATGAAGAAAAGGGACCCATGGAGAGCTATGATTGCCTATGAAAGTGCATGACATTAAAAAAATTACAATATATATGTGATAAAAATGCAGTTGCTATATTTAGTGGCAAAATTACTCAATATCAGCCTGTGTAAATATAAGAGTGGACAATGAGGTCACCACTTGGTGTTATCCTAAGTGTTCACTTATGTATAAATCTTGATACTGTAATTAAACAATGAACAAAAATTGGAATAAAAGCAGTGATAGCACTTACCCTGAATCCTTCATAAAAATCAGTATGTCTTATTAGTAAATACTAAACGTCTTAAAATATCTCAGTATATCAACACACATGGTATAGGAGATACGGAAATTGAACACTGAGTAGGTTGCTCTACGAGTAGTTTTGTCTAACACTGCAAGCTGTCACAAAATCAAAACAATAATCTAAAAACTTGAGTCATGTTCTTATATAACCTCGTCAGATCAAGAATTTCCTATGGATGCCATGCACATCACCAAATTCATTCAGAAGTTGGCTGCATACAATCGCTTTCTTAGATTGATGGGTAAAAATAGCTTTGAGCAAGTGAGGTCTATAGAATCTCAGCAAAGACAATTCTTCCTGGAACTAGTATTATGGAATCATAGTAGAAAGAACTAAAATGGGTAAAACATGTAACTTGAAGAGAGAATAATGACATAAACAAAATACTAACATTCCACATTACCTCAAACAAAAGACAAGGAAGGAAGTCCCCACCAATCCAGGAAAGAGCAATTATAGCTACTGGACTTGAAAAAATCTATTTTCCTGAAAAATTATTTTAAGACAAAGATTTTATAAATTTCAACCAACAGCAGCACTGACTACTCACAATCAATGAAAGCCAAATGTTTCCTTATTAGGAAACAGCTAATATTACCATTATATTTGTAAATACTCACTAAAAATGGTTAAAGCCGAATACAGACTTGCTAAAAGTAGACACAATTTGATGATGCAAATCAGTGGCTGTTAGATTTGAAATCCCTTTCCTCAGACAGTGGAAATTGCTTCAAATTATTTATGCCTAATATGTGCACCATACTAACTTGATTTGCCAACAAAAAAGTAAAGTGATAGAGAAAGAAAGTAAGAAACGAATATAAACAGTAAACTTCCAGTCATCAGTCCAAATAGACCAGCTGGGAGAGTGCTAGACTGAAAGGTCTTGGGTTCAAATCAGTGTTTTGGCATAGACATCAATTAATATTCTGCATGAATGACATCTTAGTAGATAATCAAGTTTGAAACCTCTTTTCAGGGAGAATGGTTACCATCAAAACCTTAACTGAAAGCAACGAGCCAATGCTGACTAAATTTGTCTCAGATCAACAACAAATGGAGTTTATTATAGATTCTGTAAATTTGGGTGCCTGAGTGATGTTTAGTGACCCAGTCTTGCTAGGCCGGTTTCTAGTGTCGTGAGTTTAATCTTTACAGGGTGCTCATCTCTCTTATATCCAAGTACCAGTCTATACTTATATTAGTAAATACCAATAGAGTTTGCCAAGAAAAACTACTAAATAGAATATGACAAACGTTTTTTAAAAATAGCTAAGTTGATTAGGTATAAATATTGTTTTACTTGGTAATATATTTTTTTTAAGATCTAACCCTATTTGTCATTATAAGTCATATTTTGTTTTTTTACATGCGATGATGCTTACGAGCCACCCAAGGTAAAGAGTTACTGAATGAAGTGCCTAAGATTAAGCATTAGGAAGTGAGGATTATGAGGATATGGAGGATAGATAATGATTGACTGTAGTGTTCAGGGAAGCATCCTCTCAGGAGTCTGCTCCACAAAGCATGAAACTTCCCATTTAAAAAAAAAAGCCTTGTGAAACATCTTGCTTGAGTATGTGAGAAAATGAAATACAACCAAAAGAATAGAAACATATATATTTATATAGAAACAACAGCAGAAGGTAAAATAGCATACTGGTTTATATAGTATTTTTGTATTTGATGTTAGATTTAATAACACATTTTAATAATGATATAAACAAACATCTTTAACACTTTCACTGCTGCATTGTTATAGCATTGTTGCTAGAGACAAATTATTATAAAAGATGATGATCACAATTTTTCATGAGTGCAACAATTTTGGTTTCATTTGATACTCTGCAGTTTCAGAAAAAGTGGGAAAACACTCCAATATTAAATAAAAGACAAAATGAATATGCTGGTTAGTTCTAATTAAATCCTAGTTAGTTTACAAGCCAAATGCTATGAATTGACATTTGAGGGTGATATATATATATATATATATATATATATATATATCCAAAAAAATTGGTGTATACAGAATAAATTTCAATAACCAAAAATACTATTCTTAAAAGAGTGCTCAATACAGATTCGATCAAATATAATAATATTTTCGAATAAATTATATATATATATATATATATATATATATATATATATATATATATATATATATATATTTATTTCATCAAATCTGGCAGACAAGGAGAATTTAATTAATATCTTTTTTATTTAGTTTTTCCTGTGTATATATATATATATATATATATATATATATATATATATATATATATATATATATATATTTTCATTGTCCCAGGTGCTTTTGGCCTCTTCTTTAGCCTTTTGCAAGGGGCTTTGCTTATGGTGCTGCTAGTTATGGACAATTTTTGTACCCCCCAATTCCCACTAAATGACAAAACATAAGAATGCTGGAAATGAAAAAAACCCCAAAAAAGACACACACACACACATATATATATATATATATATATATATATATATATATATATATATATATATATGTGTGTGTGTGTTCAACAGTAAACAATCTAAGTTTTAAAATCATGTACAAGTTGTAGAACTGTTAATCTTTTAAAAGAGAAATAAGGAAAAATGTGAGACTGCCTAGCAGCGAAAGTACATTTGAAAATCATATTGTTGAATTTGACTTTTTTTTCATGTATTTAATAACAAATTTTAGTAAAACTTAAGCGTTTCTTTCTAAAATGTGTACTCCTTAATGATATAAATAAATGTAATTTATCTTAAAGTCGTCGTCGTCAATACAGTTGTGAACAGACTGTAAAGCTAAAACAGTTTGCTTAAGGTTTGAGCATTTTCAGTAATGAGACTTGTCCTGACTTTGGCAACGAATCAAAATATTTTTTTTTTCTACAGCATTGTCTTCATTAGAATCAGTAATGCAGCTGTGAAGAGAGAAGATTCTTCCCACCTTTTCCTTTTCTTCGTTGATTCCTTGTACAGACTTAGAACACATGGTTTCTCAACCGAGTAAAGCCATGAGATCCATCATGATGTCTGAAGTAGCAGAGAGAAGACATTAATCTGGTCTGCAATCTGTGATCAGGGCTGATCAACTACCAAGCTGCTACAGCCAATCAATGACCTGATACCGCAATAAAGCACAGCAAAAACAAACAAAGCAACAAATAACAAGAGAATTGGTTCAAAGTTACAAGGATAATTTCATTTGATTTGCAGTGCTTCAAAAGGTCAATCGTTAGTCTTCGAGATTTATGTTCTTTGTAAAGCAAAACCAGGCAAGGTTAGCTGGTTACTACAATTTATTATAGAAAGTGACTTTCTTTTGGGAAATTGATTATCCGTTTACTTTTGGTAAATGAGTTGACTCCAAGTTTTAAGAATCTTTTAAAGTGCATACAATTAAAAAAAAAAAAAGCAAATAGCTGAATGCATATTTTTGTGATATTAGATAAAAAAAACCCAGCAATATAAAAATTAGATCTTTTCTCCTTATTTTGCAATTGGTCCAGTGAGAAACCTAGTGGAAATATCAACCCATCAGAAGTGTTTACAAAAACCTATCAGAAATATCAATAGACCTTATGTAGCAGAAACAAAATGCAGATGGTGCAGCCAATTGCTACTGATAACAGTACACATCCCAGTCAGTCAAAGGGACAATGTTTAGTGTGTTGTCACTGCAGAAAGATAACACATGTATGCCATGCCAAAACAGAACCAGTGCAAAACCTGGAACATCTGGTTATGAAGAAAAAAGTGTTTACCAGCTTCCTCATGTGATGGTTGGGATGGTGAGCTGAGTGGTGTTAGTTATGCAAATGATTCTTTTGATAACCAACATCTAAGTTTTCTATAAAAGCAGATCTATTTTCTGGGAAGATAGGGAGCTTGTCAGTACACTGAGTTGACCACACAATGGGATTCAAATTCTTTCATTATTATTTGTGTTTTCACCGTCTCTGCTGTATTCAGCCCATACATGTGGTGTTCACATGTGGACATCTTGTCCATGCCTTGGTTGTCATGATCCAGTATTTGATTCTGGTGCTGCTAGGTTTTCCA